GGAGCCGTATTTATGGCTCGCCCCGAACCGCTCAATACATCCGCCTGTGATACACGGGTCGTCAATGAACGGACCTAAATGATGATATATCTCTCAGAGAGTTCGCACAGTTAATCTCTGTCGCGATCGACAACGACGATCGGTGCCCGGGGATTTCCTTTCCCCCGGCATTTAAATTATGAGACATATAATTCGATCAGCTCGGAAAAGAACGAGCGTCGTAAATCAGCGACCGGGTGAAGCGGGGGGTATTCTTGTCACGCCGGACGCGGGCTACGTGAGAAAATACGAGCGGATTTACGGTTACGCCTACGAACGGAACCGACCCCGAGGGTGAGCTCGAAACGATCGCACGGCGCAGTGAGATGTAAACACGTGGACGGGTCGTAATGGAACGAGGAAAAGGAGAAGCGGGCGCAAGTGCAGCGAGGAGCAGGAAGACGGACGCGACACGTAGATACATAACACGGGCAGCGAGAGATCGCGGAATAGAGAGAAGGGTTTGCGTAGGTTACACCCGCGGACGGGGATGAAAGCATCGCGGGGGTGGGTGAGAGAGAGGGAAACTAGGGCGAGGGGTGTTGGCCCAGGATGGGGGTGCGTTGTTACTAGCTCGGGCCACTGACACGCCGCGTCCAGTTCTAGGGGGGTGGATGGAAGCGCGTGGGGTCCTCGCCGCGACCCCGGCGACCGATGCAACCTACTTTGTCGCCTGTTTCATTTGTGCGATAAGACGCCGCCTTATCCGTCGAGAAACGCTGATTTCGCCGTCCGAAAAGAATTTTTCATCGGGACGCTCCGCGCTCGTCTGCTGCTCGCTCGCGTTCCGCGCACTCTGATTAAACTTTCCGCCCCTATTTACCGTATTTTATACGTACACGGGGAACTTCCGGGAATTGAATCGGGCATATAAACACCTCGGCACTCCGATGGAAAATCTTCGGAATTAATTACACGTCACCGAATATATGTCTTGAAAACGAGTTTCTTGATTGCGCGTCTTTTGTCGTTGACAGAAGTTTGGATTACTAACTTCTCGTCGAAGTTAAGGAAGCAGGGGTCAAAGGATACGTATAATGCTATCGAAGGGCGCTATATCCGCCTGCTTTAGATCCCTCAAGTCCTCGAGTACTTCCGAATTCGTCGTGTTCGTGCGACACTATTCATGCTATCTTCACTGTAAGAGGGCTAAACACTGTAATTCTAGCCTCGTGCCTTCGAGAGAGAGAAAGAGAGAGAGCAAAGGAGAGAAGAATGAGGAGTTCTACCGCGTAGAGAATGGCGGCGAAGGAGAATACAACGGACATTGTCCGAACCGCTGTAATTTTCAGCGTTTGCCGCCAAATCCAAACGACAGCTGCCGTTTACGGTTTCGCCGCGTCACTGTGTCTGACCTCAGACAGGTCTGTTCCACTTGCGACTACGTATTGGAAAACCGCTACCGCGCGCTTGCCGCTGACTCCGTCAACTGCAAGACTTCGGAGGCGCAACTTGCACGCCGCGAACACTACGATGCACCTTTCAGAAAGCCACTACGCTGGCTAATCAGAGAACTATTCGAGGTGTCCTGGATTAACCATACCGCCGTTCAATTGCAGATTCTATGTTCGATTCGATTTAAATTAATCCCCTTCCCTCGTACAGGGAAATTTTCCAATGTTACAGATATTTTCATGGTCATTCAAATGAAGGTTTCATCAAAATATCGAGTATACCGCGTATTTCATTCTTTCGCAGTTTGACCTTTCGCAATTTAATTTCGCTATTTACACGGCGATATAGGAATTTACCACGTATCGTCAGATTTGTTGTTATCGGCGAATATCGATACTTTATCATCATTGTTTTCCGCCGTCACGGCGACAGAATGTTGTGATATATTCGGCACGACGTTTGACCTTAGATAGGACGCGCTCCATTTGCTCGTGGCCAGATCGGCCAAAAGGCGAGCAACGCGAAGACCAGGCGATTTGGCTCGGATTTTATCAGCTACTTCTTGTGGGCCGACATCCTGGCGAAGATCGACACTCCAATCTCCTTTGTTTACCACGATCTCGCAACGTCAAACTGGAAGTCTTATTATTCACTGACCATCCATCACGATAAGAAAATCTCATTAATTAATTACGATCCTCGTTGAACGTAATTAATATATAGATTATATATAAATATATATATCAATACATATAAAGCGCCGATTAAACGTAAACACCTCCCTAAGTATATTCATGAAATATAGATATATTCACAGCGCAAATTTAACATAATATCACGCGATCGGTTTATATCATGTCCGACACGTAGGGATACGCAAAGGATAAGCGCGACCAGGCGGCGAACATTATCACGGCGTGTCGCACCGAATCGAAATGATAAATATCGAGTAACGCGACACGTCCGAATTATCCCTCGAGCTCGGCCTCGATTCCATCGACCTTTCCTTTCCGGAAGGGGCTTAAGGGCGGGGTAAGCTTCGCGTCTGTAAAGTCGGCCGCAAATGCACCAAGTCGAGAGTGGCGGTACGTCGACCGCCGATACCCGCGAACTCGGTCAGTGGGTCAACGACAGATGCATCCGGTGCAGTTGCGTGACTCGTTCGGGGTGCGCCTACATCAGCGCGAATGGAGGATACACCCCGTGCGAATCTCTCTCGCGAGTTGGCGCCTCGATTAAGCGAAGATTCCGTTTCCCGCGCGAGCGAGTAAATACCGGCACTTCTCTCTTCTTCCCGCAGGCGACGGCGACGAAAAAATCCGTCAAGCTGGCGCCGTTCAAGTTACGTTTCTCGAAGATGCTGAAGTCGCGGAGTACCGGCGATAACCGCAGCAACAGCGTGGAGACCGAGGAACAGCAACGGCAGGTCGATCGATCGTCGCTACCCTCGGACGAGTACGCGGATGCGGCCGAGACAAAGACGGACAAGAACTGTTTGTCGGTGAGGAACGAACAGACGATCCCCAGCTCGCCCCCGCCTTCGTACGAGCACGTCCTCGAGGAGGTGAGTGAGCGCCCGAAGGCACGAATTTCCACCACGGCTAACAGAGTTCGGCGATTCATCGCGTTGCGTAAATAAAGAAAAAGCAAAAAAGAATGGAAAGTATAACACCGCCGATATTTCCGTACGAATTAAACGCTGTCAAGCGCGGTCAATATGTCCTCTTCCTCGGCGATGGATCGCGCGCAGCGATAACACGCTCGTTTAATATCGCGGGATGGATGTATCGCGGAACGAAATGCACGCGCCTCGAGCCCCGAGTGTCAATGTTCGTGACACCTCGTCGAATGGGAAATGTAATGCGCGCCGATGAACACGGCCTGCGTGCACAGACGCGTGAATCGCGGGCGATCCATCGCGCGATAATTCGCGCCGCGCTCCCACCGCGTCGTAATGGACTGATCTCCAGCGATCTCTTGTGCCCGACGTTGCGCGATAAAGACACGAATGGAATCGTCGGCCGTCGCGTTACGGGAGGCGAAGGAGGGAGACAAGGAGAAGCAGTTCCTCGGGAATGAGAAGAGCACGCCGGTGGAGGCCGAGGGCGGTGATGGGGGCGACGACGGTGGTGGCGGGCCCGGAGGCGGTGTGGATAGAAGAGCGGCTAAAGGACCCAAGATACTGCACAAATCGAGCAAAGAATTCTACAAGGCAATGGCGAAACAGTGGGGCATAACTTGCAAGATGAGCGATCACTGCAGGTGCTTGGATTGTCAGGTGCGTATGCGAAAAGCGTCTCTACCTTTCGTCAGAGTAACGTGCCTCGCTTCAGACTCGAAACTTTCCTCGCCACGGTAGTTGAATAATTCAAGCTCACGGCATCTAGCTAACCGCAACGTAGTCGAGAGGATTTCTTTTCCGTATTACTTAAACCGTAATGAGGGAACGAGAGAGAGAGAGAGAGGGAAGGGAGCTGTGAAAATTGTGAAATGAAAATATGAAACACGGTAAATGGAAACGAATGGTGAAAATAGCGTCGTAAGAAATTTCGTTTTGCCGCAGAGTCATTACTTCGACTGCGACTACGAGAAGGACGAGCAAGAGAAGGGCGACGGCGGCCTCAGCGCCGGAACACCGATGTTCATCTCCGAGGTGATGCACGGTACCGCCTGCGCCCTTCTGTAAGAATCGTCGCTTCCACTCCGGTACCGCATCTCCCGACGGGCAAGACGTCTACCTGATTATTACACGCACAAAACGGAGAGTCGACGCCTAACTAAGCGCGGCGAGTCAGCCTCGGCAATAGCGCGTCGTCTCGCGCGATATACATTTATATATTCTACTAATATATAAAGAGAATACACGATGTGCGTCACATATTACACACACACACACACACAAAGAGAGAAAGGACAGAGAAATATCTCCGCTCGTTTCACCAACGTAGGACGAGGAAGCTGTTCGCGCGCGATGCACGCCGACCTTCCTGTGTCGCGCGAAAGCAACCATAGATTCTTTCGATTTCTCGTACACGGAAGTCGTGCGTTCAACTTAGCGGAAGTATAGCGAAGGAGAAAGAGACGCAACAATGTGTATATATTTGGCCAAGAATTGAAATATCACGCATCGTGATACAAACAATAGCACCTTGGACGGTATTCTCTCGCGTTTACATCGCGATCGTAATTTCTATAATTCTCGCGAAACGCGAAGGAAATGGGAAAGCTTCCATCACGGCGGTGGGTATTTAAATCAATCAAACGTATCCCGGAAGTCGAGTGTACGCTTACTTTGCCCTCCAACGATTTGACATTACCAACACTCGGATGCAACGTGCGTGATTGTTGTAGCGTGTTTCGTTGCGAAGAGCCAATCGACTACGTTGTACCGATCGGCCTATAAAGTATTTTCGATATTCCCGATGACCCCGTGATATTACTCTCACGAAATTCTCCACGCGAATTCATCCTCGTTCACGACCGGCGTATGACTTTACAAGACCAAAGGGAATCCGGTCGGTCATCGCGTAGGCGTGGGGCTTTATTACTGTCAATTGCATCGCGCTCGTTAGAATTGGAGTTTTATGATAGAGTGATGAGAGCCATTGTGAACGTGACAGTGCAAATAAGACGCCTCGTTTTCATCGCTTTGTTACCGTCGCGCTTCAAACATTCATTTTGCCAAGCGCCGACGATTGATTTCAATTGTAAAATTGTTCGCGTTAATTTTTGTCGCGCAGGTGTGTCAAATGTAGCGTAATTTTATGTGCCGCGCAGCCGAGAAACGCTCGGAAAGATTTCGACATTTTTTCCATTTGACGTAGCGTGTTCGAGTGTGCGCCCATAGGTTACCGAGAACCTGACTAAATGTTCTCGCTGAGTCGCCGATACGCAATGGCAGTTACGTTGACAATTGCGAATTTGTTCGAATGTGACGTTAGGCGTATATCTGCATCGAACGATACGGAAAGTCGAAACATATGATATGTAATACTCGACCCGTTCCGTTGCTGTTTTCCATCGCGAAATCGCCGGGAAACGCGACACATCTCGAGCCTACTTTTCGAACTTTGTAATATCATCGCGGAGCGTCTTTGATATTAAACCGTCGTACACATCGAGATTCTAAGGCGAGCGCGCACTACCAAGTGCGGAGCGCGCCGAAATTTCAATGTCGAAGACATGGTATTGTCGCGTGACTTTTTCTCGTAACATTACTGACATCCTCCGCGAATATCGAAAGAAACCGCGGCGTTTCTTCGTCGTCGTACTGGCGCGAAAAGGAAATTCGCTTCTCTCTCCTCAGGGGGAAGAGGAGATCCTCTTCGAGGATACGTGCATCGAAAAGCGGAGATTTCACGCATCCTGCTACGCGCATTTCTCAACCGTAGTTAAATAACTGACGATTGTTAGAGAAAAAAAAGTAGTGATTTTCCGCGAAGCACGCGCTCGAGGGGACGCGTCGAAACTCACGAAACACATGAAAGTACAATAGGTGACAAAATGTCGTCGAGCACGCGCCCAACGAGGCGACGGTAATCCTGCGAATCCGTAGTGATTCTCCGGACAACGAGCGAAGGATTTTAGGGAAACATGACACAGTACCTGCCTAATACGAGTCTTTACGAAGAACCATTTTTTCCGCACGTCCCGGCGAGCAGGGGAGAAACCGTGCGCGGTCTTCGCCGCGCTGCTTTTATATAAAACGTCCCCCCGTTATACTCTTGTACTTTGATTAACGACGGTCACTCTTTCAACGACATGGCTTTCATATCCCGATATATTTTCCCCTTGTAACGTCAGGTGCATTGCACACGGCTCGCGGCGGTGGATTTTTCGGGAACGCACTTTTCCGGCGCAGCGTCTTCTTTTACTCTCGAGAAAGTTTTCCGCCCTCCGTCGATATACGACGGATCCGTTGCTACCGTTTCTACCGGATACGCTCGTTCCAGGGACGAGAAAATCGTACCCTTTTGCGTGCTCGTGAGGACAATTTTCCGATGCAGACGCGGACAATTTCCCGACGAGAGCTAGAGCGATTTATCCGTTCGGGAAATTAAAAACGCAAACGTCACCGATATTCGTATGTTATTGCACGCTGTTCGTTTGTTCGTTTATAGTTTATGCACGCGTATGTATGTGTCGTGTGTATGCATGTGTGTATGTATGTATGATACAGAGGTAAGTTAAACAATAATAGACAAAGAATATATGCATCTGTGACGCGAAAAGAAATATATATTAGTGGATCGCGATTAGAGAGAGAGAGAGAGAGAGAGAGAAAGAGAATGAGGGAGAACACGACGAAAGCTGTTTAGCATTACGATCGGTGCTTCCGATTAGCCTTATTATCGGATGAAGTTACTGATTATCGGATAAAATAAGTTATAATGTCGCAACAGCTGTCGAAGGATCACTGGACAATTCTGACTAGACGGAAACACTAATCGAATCGTCACTTACGAATTATTTTTCAACATCCTGCAGAGAGGGATCGTTTTTATCTCCTACACTACGTATAATTCGAAGGCACGAATGAATGAAGATGCGATTTAGCGTTAATTATTCGACTCGATAACTGAGAATGACGTACGCAGACCACGTCTACAGATTGTCCGACCGACACGTGATTCAGTTTCTCTCGACGGGAATCGATCGAGTGCCATTTTCCTTCACGCATACGCTTTATCTCCGAGCATCGTGGTGACTATCGGTGATATCTATACGGTCGCTCGAGGGCGGCTTATAGTCTCTCCGTCATTCTCATTACTTCGTTTGCCTGTAAATATCCCGAAGCATCAGATAGCAAGTCCGCGACGAACGTAAGACAAATATTTAAACGTCGTCGACATTCGATCGTCGCATTCGATAGAGACGTACCGTTTACAAATCGGTATAGATCCGGTCGGAGAAACGAGTATACATCGATGCGCGGTATCGGAGAACGATCTTATGAATTGGCGACCGAATCCGACTACGATAGACCAGAATATTGTAAGAAATGACACGGTGTAAACGATCGGCGTATCGTATATGCTATAGCACAAATCTCCGACAGTTAGTTCTATTTTGTAAACTATAATCCACGGAAAGAATCAGCGAGGCTGAGGTTGGCCGAAATGTCAATTTGTTCGCAGCCGAGCCACAATTTGCTGTCGCAAATGCGCTCTTCTCGTTCGATGAGCAGCGTCTGTTCGTCGTTAATTGGAATAGTTCTCGCGTTTAAACCGATCACGGATCAAAGCTTAGGCGAGACGACACTCTGAGATCTAGTCGACGTATGTATACATAAAATATCTATTCCGTGTACGTACGATATATAGAGGAAATGTGTAATGCGGCAGAAAATCATTGTATAGAGAATACTGACTGTAAAACTCGATGTACTCTAACAAACAGCACCAATAAACGAGGCCTAACCAAAAACGAAATTTTCATTCCTAAATTCTACGAGCCTATAAACCCATCGCCATATTTTTTTCTTTATTTTTCACTCACCAAAACGACTTGCAGTCAGGGCCGACCATGTTCCGCTCCAAATCTAGAACAAAAAATAGAGATTCGCTGATTAGATTTAATTCGGTTTAAGGAACGAATGCGAGTAGGTACTAATAGATTAATTCTGCGATTGTAATTCAAGTCACACCGACAATTATACCTCAGCTTTAGATTGTAAAAGGTTAAACGTAGGAGTATACTAGGAGGAGACTTGTAAATTTACCTTCGAGCCGACCCTGCTCGGCCCGAACCAGGTCCTCCGGTATGGCATTTGCGTCAACGGGAATTACAGCTGTCTTTGCGATACGACACTAAGATTTGCCAAATCTGAAACAGAAATATAATTTTTCCGGTTATGTTACAATGTAGAGATTGTTCGGTTTCGAAGAATTGAGAAAGCGATAATATATATCGACTTAGAAGTATTAATAATACAAAGAGCGAGGTTGTTTCTTCTTTAAATACGATAAAAGTGGAATACGATAGTTACTTGTTAAATATCAGCATGTTTACACAGTTTACGAAATTTACAGCATTAAGAATACACTAGCGAAGTGTCACAATTTGTCTCAAGCACGCTCGAATAAACGTAAATGTAATCGGGAATACCGTGCGACATAATCCGATGTATTTGCCCGTGCGTAAAAGACAGTTACAGTCTCGAATACGAAACTTGCCTGAGTGTATTGTTGTTCCGAAAGTCACGTTACCTTGTAACGACGACACGATTGAGCACGCTTCATTCATTCGTGCCTTCGGAAATACCATTGCCTGGTTCATTTTCTTTTTTTTTAACGTACTTCTGTATTCTGTAATATAATATTAAATATTATAATATTTAATTATCCAATACATGTCTCCTGATAGCGTTTATCGTGTTCGCGTGCGTTGTAGGTTACTAATTACTAAGGTCTATTAAAGTTTTCAACGAATATATGTTCACACAGAAACGATATCGAGCGCATTCGATGCAGACTACACTGTGTTGGCAAAGTATTTATTTGCGCCTGTCGGTAGATACATCTTCGGCACGATGTATATTTGATGGTCTAAACGTAGGTGTTTGGAAAGGGAGTTTTACGCGCGCGTTTTTACGAGATGTGGTATGAATTTGTATTTCGTGGACACAATCGTGATTCGACATCCTGAATCTACTTATGCATGTTATAATTTCCAAATCGATTATAACATGAAAGAACAGGGAGGCTTTGCTTCTCTCCTTTCTCTTTACAACGTTCTCTTTATACCGTTATCCTGCCTGCGCACATGATCGCGACTTACGTAACGTGATAGACTATCTCGATTTACCGTCGCCGATTTATGAACCTCGCGGACGAGCTATGTGACGTCGCGAGACGGCGTAAATCCGACGAAAGAGCCGGCGACACGTGTACGGAATCGAAACGTCCAACAGGTGGCTCGCGGTCATAAATCGTCGCTTATTGCACTCGTGTCCTTGCGAATCCGCTGACGCGATGAGAAAAAAGGAAACCTCGGATTAATGCGGCGAGTCGTTTAGCTGAAACGAGTCCGGGTTCCCGATGACATCACGCGCAGCTGACGATTCTCGCGAAGAATCACGTGCTCCGCATCCTCCTCGTGCTGAACACTCGCGCACGTACTCCTCTATTCTCTCGCCCACCTTTCTCTCCCTTTCCGTTTCACCACCATCGAAATTCTTCGATCTCGCATCATTCTACGAACGTTCGGATGCGAGTCGTCCACCCGAGACATCATTAAGAACGTCCCTGGTGGACGGTCCTTTTCTCGCTCTTTGTCTCTTTATCCTGCGATCTGTGAATATTTTCCTTTCACGATCCTCAATAGCGCCCGGAGCAGACTATAGCTTATGGGTCCTTAAGATGCCAATCGTCGTTGAAAATACCAACGACATTGCCAAGATTATAACGCGAGTCGAGATATGTAAGAGATGAATATTGTTTCATTAATTGATAAATAAATAACAGACCTGTGAAGAGTAGCGCGCGACGTGTGTTAAGTTCAATTAAATTACTACGATAGTAATTAACGGTGTAAAATTGTCGTAGAGCTCGAATTAAAATTAAACTCCACATCCGCGAGGTAGCGACAAGGATTTTCAACTGTTTCAGCTGTAATTCCGAATTCATAAAAAAGAATAATATCTAAGAGCGCATCTCGCGTGACTTGCTGCGATATTTTCCTCCCTTTTATCTACGCTGCATTCTGCCCGACCCCGGAGATTCGAGGATATATAAATTTGAATAGCCAGATAATCGAAAACCGTCGCACACTACATAGAACGGCAGTGTGTCGTTTGTTAAAAGGTGGTCGTCTCTGCCGCTCGCTGTTCTCGTTCCCTCCTCCTTTTACCATGAGCTATCCCTCTTCGAGCCCAGTTGTATCATATCACTCATTCTCTCTCCGTCCCTCCGTCGTCCCTTTCTCTCTCACTCCTACCAGCCCGCCCCTCTCGTTGCTGGTCACGTTCTCCTTCTCCAACAACCGCCACTTGCGTGTCGGTCTGGTCCCTTCTTCTGCTGTGTTTGCGCTCAGTTAGTTCGGTATCGCATTATGCTACGGTCACACCGCGTCGCACGGTACTACAGCCGTACCGTGTCAGTGCATTCGAACCGTGGTCACCGCGATTGCAGTGCACCTACCTGGGAAAATACCACACGGCGGGATCCTTGCGACGCGAACGGGCAAGCGCTGGCATGCGGCTGACGGGAAAATGGGGAAAACCGCGAGCAAACTGAAGTCACGAAGAAGCCAAAGTCAGTGCCACACTTCTACCTACGTGTCCGCCACGATATCACCTCCTTTTTGCGTGTCATATAGAACGACCCGTTTTACCTTTCCTATCTGGTAGGAAACTCCGATAGGCGAAACATCTGCGATATCGAAGATCCGAACGAGATGCGTATTTACGGCGGAGTGTACGGACGGAGAAAGCGATATGTTGAAAATTTCGTTACGCAATACGGGAGACGTTAGCGAATGGGTTTTTTTTATTTTGAAATCTCACATAGCGACGAAGGTGAAAGAATGTTAATTAATTCGAGTATCAGATATCTCCAGTGAGGGAAAGGCGACAGAGCGCGTCGCGCCGGTGACGTACGCACGCGGATCGGTCGCGGAGACACACGTGTGCGCTTCGCTTAACTACGCGCGGCGTTATGACCGTCGAAGGCAGGCGCAGAACCGCGAATATCTAAAGCGTAACGCAATTGTTACAAGTTACGTAAAATCCAGCACGCAACGATGCACACACGTAGTCGGAGACATAATTGCTGCGTCAGAGTGAATCAAACTGAATCACTACGCAGTACAACCGCATAAAAGCCAGAAATAACCGTGATTACCGTTCAAACGATCACGCTCTCTATCGTCCCTCTCTTTCTCTCCCTTTTTCATGAAAAATTCTAAAATTGACTCATAAATCGTGGAATTGTAGAGGCGAAAATTAAGTTAGCTGTTCTTTTAATTAACGAGAAAGTTAAAGGACGAGCGACGAAAAACTCGATAAGTAAACGGGCTGTATCGAAGTAACGAACATTTATCGAGCGACGCCCACGGCTCGATCAGTGGGCGAACACGCGCAAGACACGTGTAGCGAAGTCTCGTTCTCCTGGATTCAATTATCCAGTCGAGGTTTGAAGCAGGCTCTATGGGGACGTGACGCAATGACTGTCGTCCAGGAAGAGATCGATGGATCCGCGTTTGGATCGCGTCACGCCTGGGGGCCAAGCCGCGTCGAAAAATTGCGAAACGCCGAGCGGCGTTTAATTGGTGCAGCGGAATCGCGACGGCACCCACGACTTGACGCGCATCACATTCACGTGATGTCGCATGTTCGCGGTGAAAGTAGAACTTTTCGCGCTCCATCCGCGGCACAATTCGCGAGGTGTTGCGCGCAAAACTGCATTTGCCGGTAATATCACGAGATATTATCATCTTACACGACAGACGACAGAGTGTACATTTCTCGCGCGCGGCGCCAATCTGCAAACTGAAAATCTCGATAAGCGGCCTCGACGGCTTCGGTTGTCTTTCTTCGGCGCAGGTACGTGGCGCGATTGAAATTCCTGTCGTGCGGCAAGCACGCATAATTATACGGCGACGAAAGAAACACGGGGGACTTTCTGGACATAGGCTGCAATCGCGTAAAAGGTAAGGTGTACTTTTCCAACGGAGTGGCTCGACGTTCAAAAGTATATACAGGATACCCAGGTCTGACAGACTCATTTTCGTCGACGATTTTTTCCTTCCACCAATTGAAAGCCTATTTTTCCTTAACGGAAATATACTTGTGGTATGCCGGAAGGTCTATTCTTGTCTTAGGACGTAAACGAAAATTACATTCCACTCCATTATCGAACTATTATCACAAGGGGGAAAAGGGAACAGCATCCGGTCGGGTGTTGGAATAACTTGGCTTTTTTCGGCAGACGAGCAAAAAGCATAGATAGAAGCGGAACGTTATCAGAAAGGCTCGGGTGATTAAATATTTAACTTGACTTATCTCCATCACTGCCGATGCTACCGTGCCATATGTTATTTCAATGCATAACAACGCAAAATGACGTAAATTTTATTTTTTTTCCTTGAACAGATTGTTCGCAATACGGTCACACTCGCGCAAGATTCTCAATCAATATATTCCGGTTGTCCTTCCAGTCGGTTTTTATCATTCGTGCAACGTCAACGTACTTCGCGAGCGTATCGACGATTCGCGCTTTCCAAGCCAAATGCATTCTTATCGTATTTCACAGCATAAAATTAAATGTCTGCCTATTAGTTTTTAATACCGTGATTTTTAATGCCGTTTTTCATAAAAATCTTATTTTCAGTTTAGGAGATATTAAAAGTAGAAATTAAAAATAGTACGCTCATCTCAAGGAACATGTATAAAAAGTATCAACTTTAGTTACAAATATCTCAGCTTTCAAATGGTCAATCTTTTTTCTAATTGCACGAGCAATGAGTTAGATAATATTTCCATATGCACGCAATGTAAATTTCACCGAATTCTTATCAAACTCATTCCACGCGTTCCATCCTTATAATCTCCTTTAAAGTCGAATAGCTTTCGACTCAGGCTCTGAATTTCCGTCAAACTTTCATTGTCGCTTTTAAACGTAATGAAGATTAATTTGTAAATTTTTCATAATTTTTTCATTATTCTGACTTACGAATAATCCTTAAATTAGATTTGGCACGATTTTAGCGATGCGTAATTTCATCAAAAACAATTCAGAACTCGGAAAATGTCGCAGAAGTGAAATCGCACGCACACTTTAACTATATCATACCTTTTCGGGTCGATACCGCCTCTCCGAGCGTCGCATAGTTATCTCTGGCAAACGACGACCTTATCACCGTCGTCAGGTATTATGTTCGCTCACGGAGGAACGAAGAGAAATGCAGGAGGAAAGAGACGCGGGGAGAGCCGAGAGATGGCGGAGGCAAGGGGGGAACGAGTAGGTAAACGCGACGAGTGGAAAGATGAGGGTGGGACGGAGAGAGGTGGACGAGTGGATGGAGGATAAGAGAGAGAGAGGGACCCGAGGCAGCTCCACACACCTGCATTCCACTACTCCGCTTTTTCAAACGCGAACAAGCCGCTGGTATCGGGAGACCGACTATGTTCGCGGTGCACTCAAGTTCGACGTGCGTGTGCGCCGATAATCGCGAAAGTGGGAAACGCGTTTAACTTTCCGCGCTCGCAGTGGCGATCCGGTCGTGATTTCGTCGAGGCTGAAAATCACGCCGAGGGATACGCGCGAGTCGAATGCATCGATGATAAACGTGATATAACCGCCGCGGCGGACGAACGCGCGGGATCGCGTCACGATCGAAAAATGGAATCGGTGAAACTGGGAAATCACAGCGGGAGCCCGCGTGAGTATATGTCGAGGAAAGTACGCGTGTACTTTTCACACGTGTCACACGCTGAACGGAGATATACTCGCGAGTGAAAATGTCAGTCCGTGCGGCGTAACGTTTGTTGTTACTGCGTAAAATCCGTATCGGACACGATCGACCTATATCTATCGGTGCAGCGATCGCGGGCGAAAACTACCGGTCTCGAGACCGGGGATCGTGATAAAGAGAAAAATTATGCTCGGGAATAAGCGAGAGCTTAAAGGAGAAAACGAATACGCAACTCGTTCTCGCTTCACGACGACGAAACCGCTTTCATCTGCGTGCCTGTTCACTTCGCCGTCGAATATGCATGTTTATTGGTTTACCATCCGGTGTCCGAGCGAATTATAGTCCGTTCATCTGTCGTCCGTCACGTGCTAATTACACAGTGCACCGACAAATTTCGCGTTACTAAACCGTCCTCCTCGCGTCCGCGTCATGTGTATATACTTGTACGCTTAATCCGGCAACGACACGACCACTTTACTACGCAAATTTCTTTACGGCACATTCAGGCATAGCATGGAGCTTTCGATTCCCATCTATGGGTACTCTGCAGAACTTAGGTACCAGCGGCCGACGACGCAAACGAGACGGTGGCTTGGTATCGTCGGATTCGTGTAAGGACCTTCGCCAGAAGAGACACACGATACACCTGCAGCCGGAAGTGATTGTTCAGAAGGAGCCCTGCCTGATCGTGACTCCGCCGTCACCTGATAATCTCGCCGGGAGCAGGCCGGGGTATGTGTAAAGCATCGAAGTGTCGACGGAACACTACGTCAATTTCCTTATCTGAGTGACGATGATATCAATGATACTTTGTGCGACGAAGGTGCAAACGACGTGACCAATCGTTGTCGATCGATCGATAAAATTATGTTTAGAGTTTATCAACCTCGACGTGTACGCCTATTTACACGTGTTTCTTTGACGAGTTCTCTGAGTTATCAGGTTCTTACGAATTATTTCACTATCTTCTCGGGCTGCTGAGTAAAGGGATCGAGAGATTAAGAACACGAGTACGTCGAGCGCGAATACAAAGAAGCCACGGAACGAGAAGCGCGAGTAAACTTGAATAGGGAATTAGATACCGCAACGGGGACACGGTCTCTCGCTGAAGTCGAAGATCCGAAGTTATAACTTATGAATTAGCCCCTTTTGAGGGTACGTCGGAATACCGGTATGAGAATATAATGGGCCCGGCGGCTCTCGAACCGGTTTCCCTCGATCTCTGCCTTCAGAATGATGAGCCCGACTTTCTTGCCGGCTACGAACGATTGGCCGACCGATCGACCGACCGACCGACCGATCGACCGAACCGGTGAACGACGGGAATTCCGTAACGAGGAAATAAAAGTGGAAAATTGCGAGCGGTCACCTGTCACCGAGCAGCTCGTCGCGATCTCCCGCTAACGTCTCGTGTATTTCGCCCGAAAAAAAAAAGTACGCCTCGCTGCGACTTCCAACGTTATCGTGACGATCGGCGGGACCGGAGAAGCCTATCGGTCATTCTTAAAGCACAGCTCTTGGTTAAACGTGACGTAATCGTGATACTCCAGTGTGAAATCTTTAAGTGACGTTACTCGTAATGCAAGCGCGGGGACCGCGTGTCCCTCGGGCGCTCTCAAGATACGGTCCGATGTGAGTGTGCAACGATCATCAGCGTGGCGACGATCTTGGCGAATGTCACATCGCGAGATCCCAAGACGGTAACAATTACAATCCGCTGGAAGACGAGTGATTTCGTGTGACGTCGCTTCCTTGAATAATATTCTCGCGACCTATCGACAGGAGACCGCCTTTTCTATCGTTCCTTTCGCTGCTCTTTTAATTACATCGAATTATTACCGTAAAGTCCTGATGAATTTTAATATTAAATATTACTAAACATAATCATAAACTAAGATATATACGAGACACGTGAAACTGTCGTTAATGAATTTAGCATTGTCGTTTATGTGGCACAGAATTGTCGCAAAAATTGTACCCTTCCGAATTACAATTACATGAAAAAAATATTTTGCTGACACAGAAGATCTCTCAATTACTATGCGGACAGTAAAAAGATTTGTTAAGTAACATTAATTGCTAATTACTGGATATATAAACAGCAAAATAATTTGGTTATGCTAATTAAACGTTTTGCTGCAACGTTAAAATTATTTTGTCCGTGTAACAAATCTTTCTCCTGTCCGCACAATAACTGAGAAATTTGCCGTGCCAGCAAAATATTTTTTTCCGCGCAGAAAATTGCAAAAAATAATTCGTACTCGAAATTCATCCCCTGTGCAAGCCGGTTCGATATCACCGGTGCATCTCGATGACGCCGCTTATCGAACGTTTTCCGGCGACGCAAGCGCGCGTGTTGGCCATCGACCCCTTCCCTCCCTCTCTATCCGTCCCTGCCCTGCACGCAGCCCCGAAGAGATCAATAACCCCCATATCTACGGAGCACCCTCGAAAGCAACAAAAGGGAACGATGCACTTTTTAGCCGATCTAGCATCGTGTCGAGAAACGCGAGATGCAATGTGAGAGAAGTCTATGATCGACGCGTGCAATCGTCTTGATATCGCTCGGTGTCAAAGCCACTCGACGCACCCAATGGAAAGGGCCAGTGTGGGTGAAAACGACGAGGGCGATAACGTCGCAGTGGTGTATCAATGTTTCGCGGATCACGTGGTAATAGTAGACGCTGTATCCATCGCGTCAAATTTGTTCACTCGCGTACGCACGACGATCGAAAGTAAGTGAGAGCGGACTAAAGTAGCTCGAAGGTAAAAATCAACGTTTGTCGATCTTGCGAATTGATTGGCGACTTAACTGAGGACGCGCTTCAACGTTATCGCGTGAGCAACATCGTTATTTTTCACTCACCCGTTATCTACCGTATGTTCCCTCGCGTCACAAGACCAGCTCCATCGAATTTAACTCGCGCGCGGTAATTGCCGGCAGCGCGTACGGACGGACAAAGGGAGTCGGGAGCGGGAAGAAAATATTTCCCTTGGCACGCGTAACAGATTCTCTTCCTCGCTCTTCTGTGCACGCGAGCCCGCTGTCTCTCTCATTTTCCCCTCCCCCTCGAACACTCCGTCTCGTTCCTTCCTACGCGTTTTCCGCGATCTATTAATAACACCCGGTGGCACCCCGCGACACCCTCTGAAAATACGGTCCTGCCTCGAGCCGGCTCGCGCTGATCAGTGGGGTGCGCGCTCTCCGAGACTCGAGAGTACGGTCAAACCCTATTCGCCCGTTCCGAGTGCCGCACGAAGCTCTCCTTCTGCACGAAGGATTCGAAATCCATGAAAATGGGAGAGAACTCTCGTCGGAGGTCACCCCCCGCCCAGCCGCGAGATGTGAAAGGTTGAGAGGGTTTCGTTCCGATCGTAGGACACCGGTGGAAGACGACAGCGCGAGGGAGAATCGCCACGCATGTCCTCGGAGTGAGCGGGAGTCGCCCTCGACGAAGGCACCGGAGAGCAACAACAACCAATCCCCGTCAATGGTGAGCAATTTACCATATTCGATTCTCGATCAAACGCTTAATGGTACGTTCGAACACAGTGACGTCGGATTAATTAAATCCGGGACGAGATCTTCGTGAGAACTTCCGCGCGCTCGTTAGTTGTAATCATCGATCTCAATTGACATCACGCATTTGTGTGACTCCTAAATTACCAATGGAGAACGTGTCTATGAAAGATCCGCCAGAGATCTGGAACACCCTGTATATACACGAAGAGTCTCTCGTGCTCGTATAAACGCCTAATTGTAGATTTAAGTCGTCGAAATTGACAACGAGCGATTTTTCGTCGCGCGATACCGAAGGAGCGATTAAAGAGTGCGATACACTCGAGCACAAACGCTGATGAGTTGTGCGATAGTCGAGCTACTCGGCTCGATGACGAGTTGCAGACGCTCCATACGACTTTGTGACAAGAGACTCAAGGCTGCTCTTGTTAAGCCAATCTTGGCTAGACTACCGCCTCTCTCTCACTCTCTCTCTCTTTCTCTTTCTCTCGCGTGCATTGATTGCTACAATTGTTTCATATGGGACGCTTCGCACGATATCTCATCGTTACTGCTCTCGCTCTTATTCCGAGTAATTAATTGGCGATACGAGAGAGGAGGTATCGGTGACGGCGCGATATGTGCGTCGGTTTCGTGACACAGCGGTGACTCATCTTTCATACGCGAACGCATCGACGGGCACGCGGTGATTCGCACGGAGGAAGCGACATTTGATCGGAATTTCAATTGATCGCAGGAGCCACCCGAGGAGTCTACTCGCAAGCTCCTGGAGAGAGAACTGCGGCTTCTCGATCCGCGGGATCTACGATCGCACGCATGGTACCACGGCAGCACGCTGCGCGGCGGTCGAAAAGGCGCGGAGGCGGAAGTGCCGAATGATGGGGACTTCTTGGTGCGCGATTGCGCCTCCCAGCCCGGCAACTACGTTCTGACCGTACGATGGAAAGGCCAACCGCTTCATTTCGTCATCAATCGGGTGAGCTGCGACGATTAATCAGGACCGAGGGAGACCGACTCACGGCTATATCGGAGGAGCTCCATCGTTATTTTATGTCTCACGTTTTCATCTCGAAAAGATAGAGCGCGATCTTCCGGCTGCAAGATCGGTAGACGTTCCTTTCAATTTGTTTTCCTACTTGATAATCCCAGTGTGAGTCGAAACCCGATCGAAAATACAAGCAATCGTCCTTTAACTTAAGATTCTTCTGTATTATAAAATTACGAGCTTTCCTCAACGCTGACATAATCCGACCGTAGATCCATTTATATCGAAGAACCTGTTTGCTCGATGATACAATGAAACGCTCGTCTAACCACGTTCAACTGCGATTAACGCGAATACGCGAAAACGACGCTTGACGTTCGTTGGGGCTCTCTTAAATCCGTATTCTGTCGTCCGAAAGGTTGTGATCCAACCGGACACGGTGTACGAGAGGGCACAGTACCAGTTCGAGGACGAGGCCTTCGACACAGTCGCCGACTTGATCACTTTCTACGTCGGCAGCGGCCGGCCGATTAGCCAGGCGAGCGGGGCACGTATCGTCACTCCGAAGCCCAGAACAGTCCCGTTGACGTGCGTCGCCGCGCCCACGAGTAATCAGCACTGCTCTAGTCCTTCATCGTCCTCTCTGTCCACCGGCTCGCCGCCTCGTCTGCCCAGGAAACAGCAACGCAGTCACTCGCTGACGGCTCAGCACCACGGCATCGACCAGCACGCCGCGCGAGAAGGCAATCAGCAACAAACAGCACCGCAGTTACCCATCCAATCCAGTACTCTACCGCGAGTACCGCCCATTCAGAACCAACCGCCTTCCTGTTCCCTGTCCCTCGGCCGGCAGAAAATCACCCGGGTGATATCAGACCCGGCGTTGCAGCAGCAGCAGCAACAACCGCCGAGCCTGAATCACCAGAATATCCTGAGCACCGCGCCACCCAAGCCTCCCAGAGTACCTTACGTGCCGAACCACCAGCATCATCATCACCACCATCACCATCACCACCATCATCATCATCAAGGCTACCAAGCCTCCGGCAGTGACAGCGGCAATGGGTCCGGCGACAGCGAGTTCGAGACCAACAACTCCGGTGGCGCCAGCAACCCGTCCTCCTCGATGCCGATCAAGGGCGTGGTGATACGCAGCCACTACAACACCAGCAACGACGGTACCAATGGCAACAACGGTAGCGAGTACGAGCTGTCCGCGGAGGAGCAGCTGGTCGTTGCCGCACCGTCGCTGGAGATCACCACGATGCTCGACATCGAGGGTTTCACCACGTTGCTGTTGCCTGCCGGCGAGCACAGACCTCTCGACCCGACCGCCCTCAGAGGAGTCTCAGGGATGCTGCTGGACTCGGCGCCGCGAGTACTCGCTTCCCATCTCACGCGAATCGACCTCGAGGTTGCGCTTCAGCCGGGAACGGGGAACAGGAGCGGACTGAGCGGCATCGAGCTCGCGACCTTGCCGCACGGTAGGCAGGCCAGAATCGATCTGATCGAGAGGTCGGAATGCCTGAAGCTGCTGGTGGCGGTCACCGTGTTAGCCGGCGCCACGGCTATAGGTACGGAGTCGTTGAAAACATTTCTTCTCTTCTCTCTCTCTCTTTCTCTCCCTCTCTTTAACAAAAACCGTGGATGGGCCACTTCTTTTTGTTATGTAGACTTTTTTAAGTGAAAGCGGTGATGGTTAATGTTGCAGAAAGAGCGGCCACCATCAGCAAATGGATCAAAGTGGCAATCGACACCAAGACCGCTCTCGGCAATCTCTACGGCTTCTGCGGCGTGATGCTCGGTCTATGCCTGCCGCAAATTCAAAGGCTCGCCAACACGTGGCACCTGCTGCGTCAGAAACACACGGACGAAGCTTTCAGCTTCGAGGCGAAGCTCAGACCTACTCTGCGAGCTATGAATGAGTGTACCAATCCCCAGGCACCCAACACTACGCTCCCGCATCTCCTGCCGATCGCTTTACTCGGCGAACGTGGACCCGAAGACGTTTTAGGTGAGTACACGGCAAGTCGTCGAAAGTAACGAAGGAAATTTGTGAGAAAAATAACGAATCGAGCAAGTCAACTACATCCTCGTTCTTGCTCGCGAATTCACTACGAATCTTTCGCCCTCTATCTTCGTTATCTTGATCGCACATATTCCTTGACGCGATCTTTCATCGTATCCCTTCAAATGATGTTTATCCTAAGCTATACCTTGGATCATTCATAGGTACCGTGGCGCCTTCCGGACTCGCCGCAGCGATTCTTTCGCCTTGGGAGAACTCCGCGCCCGATTGCGGCCTGTCAATCGTCTGGTCGCACCTCGAAGCCGCTCGCAAGCTGGCCGAGAGCCTGCCGCTCTTCCGCAGGAACGCGGAGATCGCCCTGGAAGGCTGCCGAAGCGACGAGCTGCTGTCCGACGCCTTTCGCACCGAGTTTCACATCAAGTTCCTGTGGGGTAGCCGCGGTGCCACCGTCGCCCCGGAGGAGCGTCACCTCAAGTTCACCCAGGTCTTAGACGCGATGTACGACAAATGCGCGGCCAGCGAGGTGACCGCTTAAAAGACGACGCGAGGAATTTCCAAGTCTACCATCCCACAGAATCCATCACCAGGGGGAAACGTTCGGAAGAGACACACACTCTTCCCCGGTCTCTCGTAATTCCCGTATGCGAACGCGACAGCAGGGCGCGAGAAATCAAAAGAATATCCCATACGTTAATAAAGCGGCCTCATCTAATCGCTAACTACTGATGTAATCTCGAATCGTGTAATATCGTAGAGCATATCTCAAGAATATCAAACGTTCTTCCACCTGAACCCAACGCTTGTCCCGACTAGCACCAGCGAATGTGCTCCAAAGAATCGTGATCGAGATGTTCGATCGAAACCTACCTTTACCGTCAAAGTACTTAACTTTAATTGACAGTATCATTCGATAATGTTACGTTATAAGTGTTGTTCATATATTTGTTCATACTTAATATACAAATTGGAAAAGCGCCTCTTGTTTTATTTTCGCCATTAACGAGATATTTTATTGAATATTATGAACATCAATTAGGAGCCAGTTAGACTACAATTAGGAGCTGGAAGCTTTTGAGAAATGATCCTTCTTGATCGTTTTAATAATTAATAATGCGAGAGCCGTGTGAAAGTTGATTTCAATATTTTGCTTTACGTTCGATCTACCATATAACTATGATGAAGGAACACGACTTTGTTTAGGATCAGAAGAATGGTTTAATAATTATTGTTTCTACTGACCGGTGAATCATTCATGTATGGTTACGTGAAAAAGAAGTAGCCATTAATAGAAAACGAAATCAAGTCGACATTTTCGTTCTTACGGTCGAAAAACACGATCATTATGCGTTGATCGATGCTGAATGTATTATAACATAAAAATAGGGAAAGTTCGTATAAAATAAACTAACCTTATCTTTGACTCAAATTCTTACGATTTTCGGAACGACAGTCGGGATGTTCTTTAGGAAGGAATGCTGGAGGTGAAAGCAGCCGCAATATTCCGAAGATCTTTCGCTTCTTTCAACACCCTGTGCAAAAGTAATTATTTCGTTAAACATTTACGTCAATATAAGCTGAAATATCGAATTGATGAAACTCGTTTGGTTTCGCGAAATTTCAGTTCGGACGCCGTGAAATATATCGCAGCAATCTTTACGTTTCTTCGCGGGTAATCAGAACGCAGCAAACAATACAAGATATTTTTTCATTCCAGGAAATTGAGCTTACCAAAAATATGTCGGTTTCGACCCCTGATACAGCTAGATTAATCGGATTAAGACATTTTTACGGAGCGACGGTTAAACGTTCAACGCGAGAGTTATTCAACTGACAAACATGGCGCACGTTTATCTCAAGTCGAAGTTGCCGAAGCGCGGCAAACGGCAAACTATCTGGCGCCATCTACCAGTGTTGCGAGAAACTGACTTGAACTTTATTATCAAGTAGTACAACTCAACGGCGGATCAAACGTTCCTTTCGTTTTAAAATAATGACTTTGCAACAAATAAGAACACATTTCATATTGAAAGAACATAATTATTAATCAGAGAGTTTTTACTTCCAAATAGTAAATGCGACGGTGGAGCAGAACTTTCTATTCTTGCAACACGACCAACAGCGGTCCGGATAAACTTACGTCTGTATTTTCCAATGAGAAAATACCTTTCTAAAAGACTGTCTGCATAAAGGATAATAAGAATTAGTCCAACTTAAAGTGAATATCGAAAACGTGATCGATCCTTACGCAAAGAGGAATCGAACATCGATTAATCGGCCGAACCCCTACTTCCGGCGTTGAGGAGCGCGTGAAGATGTACTCAGAGTGACTGACACTCAGCAAGACAGGTTACTCGGCCGGTGCGAAATTCGATAGTAAACATGCAACCGCGGCATTATCGCAGTGAGTGACCGTTGTTGTAGCACACGCGATTATAATGGCAGAGCACCTGTCGAAACGGCCTTCTAAAGGAATCCTAAAGACGTCCAGCAGTTTTGATAATCCAGAGGCGCCTAGGTGAGGAGAGATGCTAATTGAATTTCGATGTGTAAAAATAGAGATGCGTGCATCACTCGTTCTGGTATAACGTTATCGAGATCGTCTTACACGCGACACAACACCCGTAATTGTTCGGCCTTCACAAGAACATCGCGATAACTAGGGATTTCATGCGTACCTTTTGGCGAATTTCGTATGAGGTAGAAAAGCGCAATCACCGAAATAACTTTTTGATATGCATGCTCGGTCGATAGTTGGACTTTTTGTTGTTGCACGTCGTGTTACAAATGGGTGTGTATGCGAGTTTAGAGAGAGATTTTCTCTCGAAAATATTTCTTATATGTATATAATTCAAGGATGATGGAAGAAATTGTAAAAACACCAACGTAAGAATATTCGCAGAAAATAAGTCACTGTTAGCCAGCATGACTTAACAAGTTCTATTTTTAAAGTGTAATAATGCGAGTGCTATTTTTTTTTTCTTGAAATTACCTATTACACCGACGGATCTGTAGACCAAGTAAAGAGACAAAATGGGACGAAATGAATATTATCGCCACCCTTCATCCTCCTGACAAGGATTACGGACATATGAAAATCGAAGAACCGAAAACCCCGTATAATTTTGAGGGCCTTCAAAATGAACATGAATTTGATCAATTAGACGCCAGTGCCATTGCAGCAAAGTAAGTGGATATATAGTAACTACGTTTCATATAAATTTTAATTTTTAATGTATGATAAGTACAGCCTATTATGTAATAGTAATCATACAAAATTCATTCACCTGATTATTAAAACTTAGATTAGCCGGAAGTAGCAAGCCGAAAATTTTTGAAGAATCCCAAGAAGAGGAGGAGGAAGAAGAAGAGGAAACTCCTGAACAAAGAGGTAAGATGAAATATTTCTACAAACAAATCATCTCTTACATTAATGAATGATATTTTAGAAAAGAGGAGAGTTTTCGAGGCAAAGAGAAAAGGTCACTATCGAGAATGGCATGCTGTACAAGAGGCGAGAAAACAACTTTTAGAGCAAGATGAAGAAGATGAGGATGAAGAAGATGGTGAGGATAAAAATAACGAGGAAAATTCTTCGGACGAAGAGAACAATTTTGACACTCGTTACAAATGCATGCCGTCCTGTGATAGAAGCGAAAAGAAATAAACGAAAATAATGATTAGTGACGTTATTTTATAAATCGTCCATCGTAATCATAATTTTGCGCCGACGTCTATCTAACCGTTTATCGCTGTTTTAACCGAAGTACATCGAGCTGCAGGAAAAATGTCTTACATTTAAACGCCCAAACATCAAATCCCGCATCTTAATCATGTACATATAGCTCTATTAGTTTCATTCTCTGTAAATAAATATTTCAGCAACTTGATTGTTTAGAATAAACTGCTGGTAGACTTTTCTAGCATTAGATAAAGTAACAGTGATAATGTGTCCGCGAAACAACTACTAATTTAGCTCAATACTAATAAGCTATGCACAAAAAACCCGTCGAGTTTAATGAACGTGATGTTTGTTTACTTAGATGTATCTTTATATAGGTCGCGACTTGTAGAAGCTTCGCTCATTGTTCCGCGTACATTGTTAACAGGCCTATTGACATTATCTTATAGTGCCGGCTCATAGCGATGTTACCATGAAATTTATTCTTTTGGAAGAAAAAATTTACAGGGCTGAGGATTCTTGATCGTTCGATCAAAATTCGACGAACAATAAAGGCTGAACGAAGCGCTCCCACAAATAGCAAGAGAGATATCGAGACGCCATATGTAATATTTACTTACAGTAAGAAACGTGTGTATTTAAACGTGTTAGTATATGTTTAATACATTACAAACTCTGCATTAGCGTAGTATGCATACATTACACAACATTGGAATGCACGACCTCGAATTTACGTTTCTTCTCATAATGTTTGATTTTATTTTCCAAACTTTCTGTAAAAGAAAATAGCGTAGATTATACATAAGTAGACGTAAAAAAAGAAACTATCAGTTTGTACTAAATGAGCTACATCACCTAGTAAATCTTGCTATTTATAAAATGTATATTTAGGAAAGTTATAACGTGTCGAACATAGAAACGTCCAAGTGTGGCGGCAATGTGTTTAGTATAGCAATGTAAAACAAAAGAAAACAATGTTATATGTATCTAATTATCAAAATATTTTGAATGTCTGTATTATATAGTGGAATACAACAGTATTAACAGATCCTGAACGATATACTTGTATGCATGATTCTCAAAGCAAATAAATATAAATTACATATGATTACGTTGTGATCATAAGTGACAAAATAAGTTTTAAATAATGGGTTGAATTTTCGAAGGCATCAGGATTTAAGATTGGGCGTTTTGATAGGATTATCATATACTAACTACACATGTCTCGCTTCATCAATGGTTGATATACTCTTGATTGTGCTCCGCGGAGTAGGCAATCGTTTTGGAAATCAGTACTTTTACAATTGACCATACATTCCAATTCCGATAACATGCTTTTGATCATTGTAGATCTGCATATAATAAAAAAAATATTTTAGTTGCAAACTCAATACTCAAACTTACACCACTACTTATTTATTTTAACTTATATACATACTTGATGGCATTGAGAGCCCAATCTTGCTGTAATATCTTGATAGTGTTTATTAACTCGTTTTCATCAACGAACCATTTTACATCTTTATAATCAGAGAACCAGAGATTCAATGGAACTTCATGAGCCTTATTGTATTGAGGCTTTTGTGGACAGGTTTCGATATCTAGAAGCTGTGAAATTATTTCAGGCTCTTCTTTCCTTTGTCCAACCAGTAATAAAATACCCATTAAACAACGAATTTGATGCCAGAGGAAGGCTTGAGCAGTGATTTCTAGTTCGCATATTTCGTAGCCTTTGAAATAGAAGTAAGATTGAATACATGCCGTCAATTATAGCAAATAATTGAAGAAATTAAAAGATACCTGTGGATCTTTCTACTGACTGATTACTTGTGAAGACCTTCGCATCAATTACTGTTCTCTTAAAATTAGTCACACCATTTGCTACATCCATCTTACAAATGTTACGAAAATCATAATCCCCTATAGCATATTTGACTGCTTTGTCCATGGCATCTATGTCCAAATCACCTCTTGGAAAGAAATACTTGTATTTTCTGTACTTGCAGTCAAATCTCGCGGAAAAATCGAATGGTGCTGGACACCATGCTAAACATCTTATATTAGCTGGCAGCAATCTATTCAATATTTTACAATAAGGTAACTCCTTAGATAAGTTACTTTGTTTCTCAGGCTCCAACTTACTACGTATGTCCAATGAAATCACTTGAGAGAACGAACTGACACCTTTATCAGTTCGTCCACATCGAGAGTAATTTGAGGTTTCACGAGATTCTATGCAACAGCTTTTTAGAAGAGCTGCGAATAAGTGATGTTCAATAGTGTCGTTGCTTTCTTCCTGTACAGTAAAACCATGATAATCCCAGCCGAGATAATATAACTTCAAAAGAATATGCCTTTTATGACATCTACAATTGATATTATGAAATATTACTTGAACAAAAGAAAAGAAGCTGTTAAAAATGTGACACACCTACCGAGAGAAATCAAACGATTTTTGTACTTTTCCAGACATCCCTTTCACTTCTAATTTAGTACCCGTACTTTTTGCAATCAATGCTTTCAGTTGTTCGTTATAAGCTTCTAATTGCATTATTCTATCTATTAATTCCTGTAAACCGGAAATATGCGAATGTAAGGTAAACAATGTAGGAGAAGCATATATTTACATGTTTACAAACACCATACCGATTTATCGAGTAGATCTAGTTCCTCTCTCGTGCTTTTTTTCGTTTTAGCACTCTTTCGCAAAACTTTTGCCATAATAATATCGTTATTATTAACGTTAGGCGTAAGGTATCGGAATCCAGTTGAATTGAACTGATCTTAAAGTAGGAACGTACATACAGGTTATGCCATAAAATATAGGTTATGTTATACTCATTAAAACACGTGCACAATCGTTATCTGTAAAGGCTGTATCCGGCAAACTTGCATAGTTGTATAATGTATGTGCACAGGACTCAATCAATCATGACCTGTGCGGTTATATGACGTCATTTATGTTAGACACTTGATTGGCCGATTTTCCTGGATGCATGCGTATGCGATTACTCAGTTTGTCTCTGGATAAGCCTTAATACGGAAGTGACGACGCATATCCGGTAAGAATAAACGGTCGCCATATTTGCCAGTTGAATATTCCTCGCATTGAACGCTTAACTGTCGCTTAGTCGGTACGGACTCGTTAATCCGTTTAATTCGGTTCTATCAAGGATCGAAACTGATATATATTCGGTGAGTTTAATTTCTCCAAAAGAAGAACTTCATATCATTTGCTATGTTTCGTTTACACACAAATAAACATAAAGTTCGCTACCGAAGTCTGTTATGGCGTTGTTTATCAGAAGCTATCGTCAAAGTTAAATCTCACGAAATTACGCTAGTTTCGATAAATTCAACGTTCTGTCTTATGTTTGTGCCGAGATTAACGGAAACATTCTTTTTGTAACAGAGCATCGAATAAAACGGAAGATCTTCGGACATTACAGTTTTGTTTCGCCACCAGTATTTTCTCCGAAAACAAATCGTTACGTGGAGTCGTTTCGGAAGATTTCGGAAGTCGAAGTCAAAGATAAGGTCAGTGTGTACACGAGTTTTCTCTATTTTTATTAATGTACAATCAGCATCCATTGCGTATAATGATTCTCGATACTTCTGTCGACTAGACAATACTAAATCGCTACAGTTACAATAGTGCAATGCACTCTAACTTGGTTTGACAATTCGGTTTTCTCGAGCGAGAATACGGTAACCGAAGGGTTCGGTTGATTTGCAAGGAGAATTTTTGACCAGAAAACATTCCTGTATATTATATAACATCAAAATATCGAATATCTATCATATAAAAAATTTTTTTCTCAATTTTTCTTCCTTTGATCTCGATTATAAAACAATGTATCCCGAGTTGAAATTTCGTTCTCACGTTAGTTTTGCAAATTTCATTGAATTTGAATTCACGACAATGAAGAATTTCGAAATAAATGATGTTATAAAAGCTGTGTATCTCCCTTTATGCTACGAATTATTACTTGCCATCCTCCCTATTCTCCCTATTAAAGCTTAACGAAGCACTCATTCCAAAATTATTTAATATTCTATTATCTCAATATTCTACCTATGTATTTAATCTTTATTTTTAATTTCAATTAGCAATAATAGCAAAATGTTGATTATATATAACTTACTTAATTGCAGATAGAATATATGTGATAAGCAAATAGTAAATAATTAATATGCCCAGGATGATATGTCTAATTGATATAAAATATCAGCTATATCTTGTTATAATTTCACATTTAACAATGTAAATGTAATATAAAATTATATTTTACATTACATTTATATTATTGAATGTGAAATTGTACCATAGATGTTATGCAAATGATGCTCGGTGTCGACTGGATGAGTAGCTAATGGAATTAAAGCAAAGACATATTTTTTTTTCTAATCTGTTATTCTATTTATCAAACTTAGAAATTTCCATATGATTATAATATTTAAAAGAATTAAGAATAAAAGAATATTTTTTCTTTTTGTATAAAACCAGTACACATAGTTAAAGGTTGATGAATAATCACGAGATTCAAGAAGCTATAATTATTTTTCAAATGATTATGGACCGTATGTGCTGGCCTCAATTTCGACTCAGGTATCTTCTTATTCTTCGTTCAATGTCTGTTAAAATCGAAAATCCCTTATAATAAATAATTTAACGTACCTGGAAATATATGATGTATTGCTTCGAATCCTTTATCAAAATTTTTAATAGAATCAAAAAAGTAATGAAAAAATCATTAGTAAAGAAATTCCTTTTTTAGTCATTTTTTAGTTGTTGTCTATTTTAGTTATTTAATATTTATCTATCTTGCTCTAACGATAGTTAAATAAATTACATAATTATATACATTGCTACGTAAGTTACAATTAAGTTTACATAATTATATGAAATAATTATAACACATTAATATTGAAATTAAAAACAAAGACTAAAAATACAGGTAGAATATTGAAATAATTGAACGTTAAATAATAATAAAAATAAAAGCTTCTGTAAATCTCAACATAGCAGAAAAATAGTAGTAAATAATTATTTGTAGCATCAAGGTAAGACAATAGCTTGTATGGTATAGTGTCTCAAAACTGTATATTGATCCTTCAAGTTTGATGGAATTTTAATCAAGTACAAGTTTAATCAAAATTTTGTCTGTAATATAATCTCGAAGTGAGAAACGATCAATAGAGAGTTCGGTTAGACGTAACTTGTGCGATTTCAATCGCCTTCAGTGCACACTAGTATTGAGAATATGTCGAAATAAGATCAAAATGCAAGTCAGGATGTCGTTTGCGTGTATTCTTCATATGTAAAGGCGCAAATGTCAGCTTGATTTCGTTTTCCATTAACGATTGCTTCCCTCTCGCGTAACCACATCCGAGTGGTCTACCGACCAGCGGAAGCGATTTGATAGTCGATAAACCGCTCTTCTGATTCTCAACCCTTCAATTCCGAAAGTACCGAACGGAGTCACGTCCCACCGTTACAGTCTAACGTGAAACGGATGTTCTCTTCTCTACATGTGTATCAGATATGCCGTGAAAAGTTCGAGGGGGAAAGCGTCTTTCACCTCGCATCGACTGTCGCAGGTGTTTCAATTAAAAGTTAAAACAGTGCTTAAACCAGTACTTATTATACCGTATAATAAATCATGCGTAAAGCTGCAGCCGCCAATTAAAACAAATTATCAGTATTAATCTTCACACGTCCCTCGCATCATTAATTACTACAATGGATTAAGAAGGATCATTCCTTGAAGTTGCTGGTTAAACTTCCTAACTGTAGTTATAATGAATTATGACGTCTGAGGAAACTTTTCTTCCTATTATTTCGTATTAATAAATGCGATCTACCGTGCTTTCAACGAAAATGGATCTTACGACAGTTGATTGAGATTTACGGCTGTTTATTTGACTACGAACGAATAAAGATAGTTTTTGATATATTTTAGCGATCCATACCACGAGTAATGCGGATGGTAACACTTGGAAAAAAAAGTTAATTTACTTTGACGTATAAAATAAAAGAAAATCTGACACGGCATCTCGCTTCTGACGTTATAATTCGATATAGCTGCAGTGAGGAGACGGGAGTCTTCGAGATCTCAATTCGATATATCCCAATGCTGTCTCCGACGTCTTCGAATTCCTCTTTACTTATCAGTTGAAGGAAGTGTCGCAGGTAATACAATCGCGTCGAAACAGTGCTGAGGGACGGATGAAAGTTCAACAACTGATCGGGATGTTCCTTAATATCGCTAATGACGAAACTCAAAGTACTCATTGAATGACAGCCACTTTATTGAGAGTAGACAGCGGTGAACATTAAGATCGCCTTGCGCAGCAATCGCCTCGATACTTTTAGATAGTAAGATATCACACGTGCCCGTAACTGAGTAAGAATCCTATCCTTATCCAGCATGCTATCGATCTTCACGTTACGACGAGCCCGATCGTCTCGTAAGTGCACTCGTAAACTACTTTATACTTTCGCTGCAAAAAATAGGCGAGCTAAAAGGACGGGAATGCATTCTGCGACGGCGAGAGTCATTAATTTCATTTCTCACAAAATGAATTTCCCCCGGTCCCTTTGAATTTACATATTTTTTGCAGAGTTACTTCAAAAATGGAGGTACAATGGATAATCTCGAACGCACGATAATAATTGACGATACATGCATTGCCTCTTGCGAAACTATATGTACAGATAGAGAGATATAAATAGTTGTAACCGTGTAAAAGTGGAAAACAGTTAAAACGAACCACCCTTCCCGGCCTGTCTCTCTTTTTCGAGTCATTATCTTGCAAAGTAGTAACGCTTGCTGTTAATTTGACCCGCTATTAAGATATCCCTGCAAGAAATCCTCGAATTAAAAGAAATCGGTCCGAATGTGGACACTTTTAATCGAATTCTTATTTTTCTTGCCGAACTGTCTTCGGCCTCTTTAAAAATTCAATCGTTCAAGACGCTCTTGTCCCATCGGGAGTATTAAAAGGGAAGTTTTCCTCCTTTCCAAGAGAAAACGCGCAGTAAGAAATGGAAAAGTTTCAGCGGAATCAGCGTGGCCGACACTTCGAATCTAATTATTAATTAGATTTCCGACGGGATGACGCACGAATTTCGCTTAATCGCTTTTAATTCGCCTATTTTTTACAAGGATACGTTGCGTCGCAGCGGTGTGTCTCGAAGAAAGAGAGCGCCTTGTCACTCTCGTATTCGCCGACCACCCTCGGCTTCGCCGCACGCACGCATACATAATCGTATATATATTGCTGTCGGGTATCTCTCTCTCTCTCTCTCTCTCTCTCTCTCTCTCTCTCTCTCCCGCGACAATTTGTAAAAAACTTTTGGCTTGGGCCCGCCTACTGGCGACATCACCGACTTACGTAATTATTACGAGTAATTAGTCATGCTCCGCTAACAGTAGGAATACGAGTACAAACGCGTCGAATGTTTCATATATTATGCGTGTACCGATCCCGGTACGCGCCGGAAATGATTTGTCCTTAAAATCTGAGTATATTGCACCAAGAACACCGCCGAGCGGATTTATTATTTTATTTGTCGCGTCGCTCTTCCTGGCGACTGCCGAAAGCTCGGACGCGACGAAACTGTTATTGAGGGGTAGTGCCGCGGTGTCGCGCTCTTAATGAACCTGGAATCGTTGTATCTCTAAATTTCATCGCGAATTGCACGACAAATTCCCATCTTCGTACCGTAAAACGAAGTCCTATTACACGAGGACGACTGACTGTGCGTCATGCGAGAAACGAACGCGAAGAAGAAGAGGAGAGAAGAGAAAATGAGGAAAAGAAGCAAGAGGGGGGGAAAAAAAAGAAGGAAATGTGCGCACAATTAGCACGATTTTATTTTCATTGCCGTCTGCTCGAATTCCTTTTAACTTTGATCGTGAATACGGTCGCAGAAAGCAATGCCGGACGTGTCGCTCCGTTTTACCTCGGAACGCCGCGATTCAGAAAACTTAAGAGGGAATCCCTTACATAAATACTGAAAGCTCCATCCCTAACGAGTTCACTCATGAGTCCGGGGGGAAGGGGGGGGGGCGAAAGAAAATTGGATTTCAGCCGTGTACGAAGGAGCAGCGATCTCTCAACCGCGCATTTATTCACGCTGCGATGCGATCTGACCTCGTTTTAGGGCAGGAGCGATTCGGTCTCCATCGCGATGATCTCATCGTCGCGACATCCGCTCGGAGAATCTCGTACTCGTCGTCGTTTTTATTATTCCTCGTAAAAAACGAAAGGATATGGGGCAATTGACAATGCATGCATTGATTCGATTCGATAATTATCAGTTCTAGGGATATATTCCGAAGGCATTTAATAACATGCTCCGCCACGTTCCTCGAAGTATTTTGAACACAGCACCCTAGCGGAGAACGAAATGTATCCTGGTAAACGTTCACGTAATTACTTCCTAGTGTCAGCTAGACGCTTCGAGTTTAGGTGTATGCGTGTGCGTGTCTGATTGTATGTATCCGTGTCTGTACGTGTTGTGTGTGTGTGTGTGTGTAGGAAATATTTAATGAATATTACTTCGTATAACATATATTTACAAACACATAGTTATTCATTTTAGAAATGTACGCGAGGGAAAACTTACTTTATAGTATTTGTAAAGTACCATTCTACCGCTTCCCGGCCTGAGATTTGGCGATCCTTGTGAAAATGTGTGCGCCCGAAGGAGAGAACGGACACGTTCCTAATTAACATGCTTTTACATGCTCTCGATACCTTTCCTTTAACATTCCTTATATATATATATATATTTCAACACGCACACGTACATGCACACGCGCATATGTAACATATGCACGTACGTACGTGTGTACATATACACTCTCTATGAAAAACACACTTGTTAGCCCAACAGCGACGCTTTAAACGCGACGCGCCTTAACCCTTGCCCCCAATCTCGTTCCTCGGCAGCGCTCTCTCTCTCTCTCTCTCTCTCTCTCTCTCATCTCATTCTCACGAATGAAAAAGACTTTTACACGATGGAAATCGCTATAACAGTCAACGGTTAAATCTACACCACCCGATCTGCCGTGGCTAACAAACATCATATCGTTTTGTAACTCGTTTTATAAATATCTCGAAGGTATATTCGTTATATAATTAATACCGCATTCAACTAGGACTATAGTTTAATGTTTAAAGTCGTGTCACAAAAATATTCTTCGGTCGTACTAAGAAATATTTAAACAATATTTGTTCGCTGCTATAGGGCTCGCCCCGACCTCCTCCCTCCCCCCCGAGAGCGGTACGCTATATCGATTACATCGACGACCTTCACTCCCTTTCCCTGTGACCCCCCCCCCCCCCCCCCCCCCCCCCC